CATAAACACGCAGAAAGAGAGAGAGAGAGAGAGAGACATCGTGACAATAACGGCAGAAGCAACAAAGAATAAAAAATAAAAAACAACACAAATAAAAGAAAAGGTGGTGAAGGAAACATGGCAGAATAAAAAATAAGGGGGTGACAAACCGCGTACATGCATCCAAAAACACATACATACATTTATGGTGATTCTGGCGCAGCCCTCAGAAACGCTTACGTACCCGTGGCAAACAAACGCCAAAAGAGAAATATATACATATATATATATATATAGGGAGAGAGAAGTTTGTTTTTGTTTTTTGTAGAAATTTCGCCCAAATGAGGTCACGCACTTTAAATCAATAATAATAATAATAATAATGTTAAGAATAAAAATTAAATCGGGCTTCAATGGTAGTGACTTGTCAAGACATTCCTCCATATTCTCAAACGTAACACCCAACATTTCTCATTGCATCTCGCACCCAGTGTGTTTCGCCCTCCTCCTCCTCCTCCTCCTAATGGCTTCACAGAAATACACGCAGGCTTCATCCGCACCATCGACCGTCCACCGTATACCGTACAGGATCGGCTCCAGCAAATTCGTACCATTCGTCCACAGTGCGTAGTCGCCCAGTTCCATACCGATCTGCATCTATCATCACCACCGGATCTTGCGTGTTTTTGGGAACCCGCAAAACATCTACGCCCATCACACGAGATCTCAAAAAATATTGAATACGACGACGTGTATGAGTCTGAGACGCATACCACCGCTTTGCCTCATTCCACAACTTTGGTTCATTTGGACGGTCGTAGAAATGATAACATATACCACGTTTAGGTGAAAAAATATCGTAGCCATGCGTCCACAAACGCACCGAGTACATCACCTCCTCTCCATCAAAGATGTGCGGCAAATGAGGATCAAATGGAACCTCGCGCATAACAGACGCATTTGCAAAGAGAAACCCACCGGCTGCCCACGGTTGCGCCAGTGGACGTACCACATCAGGTCTCAGACGAAGTCCCGGTATCACATACGGCTTCAAATGACGCGCGTTCTCTGTGAACAAATCACCTTCCCCAATAATAATGCCAACAAGCCGTAAATACCCTGCTGTATTAAGAAATTTGGCCTGACACAAGTATGCCGTGGTTTTACGTTCCCACGCAAATTCGCCCTTCTCTGGCGGGACGTAGCTCTCTGGGTAATGTGATAAAACCGCCTTTGGATGCTCCAAGGCAATCTGCATTGCAATGATACGTGAATCCCAGGCATAGACAAAACGATTGTGTGAATCCAAAACCAGCATGTAGTCCTCCCCACCATAAAGAAGCATCGACATGTAGCGACCAAAGGCTGGACCAAGAGCGGTAAATGAACGAATACGCCGAATGCGAATATTATCCGAAGGAAAACATATTGCACCGTCAAAATTCGCATCTTTGATCATAACACCGGATGTTGTAGGGGCTGCCACACATGGTTGAGGCTTCAGAGCGTCAGCGGAAACACAAGGAAGATCACTGTAGTAGTGTTGCTGCGCAACTCCCCAGTATACGCGGAACATGTTCGTGGATCGTTGAATCATGTGATTAATAGACGGCCAACATTCTTTATCACGAAAGCTCGCAATGTTAAGAAATAATGAACCGGTATGCGGCAATGACTCCAACTCGGAAGAAGACGCCTCACTTTCCCCAATGACATCTGCAATAGACGGAGCAAACTCCTCTGAAATCTTCGGTGTAGAAAAGTGGGTGACATGGTCACCGTAGTAGTCATCCACCAATGCATTAAACCACGCTGCCGTCTCCTCTGGTTTTTCTGAAGAAAAGCGTCGAAGGCGATGAAAACGTCTCAGTGGGTAATAAAATCGTTTCGTATAAATGGAAGGGGCAATTTTCTTTACACGTTGCCACCAGGCTCTTTTATGCTCAGGTATTGACGCGGTATTCTCCTTTTCACTTTCATACAATCGATGTAGCTGTAAGTAAAGAATATCATCAAACGGTTCAGATGCCTCTCCCTCTTCAAATATTTTCCTCTTATGACTTTCAACCGACGATGTCTCTTTCATTTTCTTTTCGATAAAAGTGGCAGCACGTTCTAAACCATCTTTTGGGCCTTGTAACTCAATCCGATTGAGTACCCTCCGCAAGGATGCCATGAGGGTTGAAAACCCAACCTTCGGACTCGATGTGTACGGCGCTAAAACAGGGGGTTCATCATCCTGAATGTCATGCACATCAATCGTCTCCACATTATGCTCACGCTTCCAAGTCTCTTTCTGTTCATTAACTTTCGTTTTATATCGAATCAAATAATCATGAAGTGCAGTTTCATGATATGCATCTTTTGTCCGTATAGCCATTTCATATAATCTCCAAATATCCATGATGGCATCATTATCAAAGAATTTTTCATCCCGTACATGTGGTACCGCATTTTCAGGTCCATATAAAAGTAACCAAGCATTCATACCAATCAGTGCTAAACATAGTAAGACAAGAACAACAACGGTAATTAACAGAGCCTGAATAACACGTGTGTCGGATCTCAAAAATGAATTCACGGCATCCCGAATTATTTGAAATTTATTTCGTTTAACATCAAACCGGTACGGACGCCCACTTCGTCGTTCCTTCTCTGCGGTTTCATTGGGCCTCTGATTGTGTGACGTATGCCGACGTAACAAATTGGTTTCCTCAAGCTGCATGTCCTTTTCCTTTTCCTTTTCCTTTTCCTTGTTGTTGTTGTTGTTGTTGAATATTTATTTAATGCACCTTTTGCCTATAAAACACACACACACCCCTTGTTGCTGCGTAATAATAATAATAATAAAACAATCCGGCTTCTCCGAGTCCTCCCACCCCCAGCGCGCATACAAATACAAATACACACACGGAGAGAGAGAGAGGGAGGGAGGGAGTGTGTGTGTGTGTGTATTTATTTATGTGCAAGATGACAGCCCAGTAAAAAACAAAAACAAAAACAAAAAGAGGGGGAAAGGAGATGTAAGGAACGCGACATGTGTTTATATATCATTTCCTCACATTTGGCTGTACAGTTACAAAAAACAAGACACACAACACACAACACACACAAAAAAAAAAAAAAAAATGAAACATGTCTCAGGCTCATGATAAAATAACTCTTCTATAAAGCCCCTTCATACGCATGCTGGACTCCAACGAGCGTCG